TGACCAGGACCTCACCTAGAAGACAGGGAAGTGTTGCCAATCCTGCATCTGGCTCTCCAGTAGAGTGGCATAAACACCTGGACAGAGGATGGAGAGACCCTTCCCCCATCACCAGTTCATTATCTCACTGACAGCTGGGGACTCCAAAGTGCAGCCCAAAGGGAAATGGCCAACATCCCACAAAATCTCCTACCACAGGGTCCAGAGCCACCTCCACACCCACCAACTGAGCCTTCATCTCTCCCCACCCCAGGCTCTAGCCCTTTCTGCCCAAGCACACACTAAAAGGACAGCAATACTGGGTCACTGCATGACTTGTGTCCCCAGACCTGTCCACTCTTTTTTAAAATACAATTTCTTTAATTACTTGCTGTTTGGTACCTTCATGATTGTAATAACTAGGAGTTATCTTATCACCACATTGCCATTTATTTATTTATTTATTTTTTTAAGGTTTTTATTGTGGATTGAGAGAACGTTTACAGGGCAGATCACCAGTTTTATATTCAACAAATCATATGCCTTGTTTCATTACAATGATTATAATCCTCTCCATGTGTCATCAGTTAACAGCATTTCTCTCTATCCACTTTAGCTTTTTTTTTTTCCTAAAGAAAAAAACACTCAGGCATATATAAAAATTTACACCTCCAAAGGGCATATTCTGTATGTCTGCCTCCTGGCCACCAGCTCTTAGTCCCTCTCTTCCCATGAAACTAGAGCCTTCAGCTGCTCCCCCTCTCCATGCCCCCATCTCTGGTGTCTCTGCTTCTCTGGATAAGGTCCCACATTCTGTTTGTGCTCTTCTCTCTTGATGGTCCTGGGGTCCTCAGTTTCTAGACTGTAAGATTAACCACTCCCCTGTTTTTGTTACAAAACTTGTACCTGTTATAATTGTGACAGTCGCAATTTGTCATGATAAAAATTATTCACTATTGAATCATACAAATCTTATCACCATCTCTTTTTACCAGAGCCATCAAGACAAGACGAAAACTATTCAGTGGGGACTCTTTCTTTGCCCACATACTCTTCAACTTAAACTCCCTCATGAAACCTTGTAAGCCAATCACTTCGTGACTTTATCGCCCCCTCATTTTCGGTAGCCAATGTCTAAGTTGCCCGGCCATATCTATCCTGACACATAGGGGATAGCATTGACACTTGATGTGAAGACTCCTTCCCTCTCAGTTGGTATTTAGAGTTACTACCTCCATGAGTATAGGTCAGGTTCATCAAATTGTAACAATTTACCCTTGTTACCTTTATCAAAAAACTTTTGTATTTTATTTTAAATCTTCCTCTAGTCGAGTTCTGAAGACCTGCCCACTCTTGTGGACAGGATCCTGTTTGGAAATAGGGGTTTCTTTGCTATGTTCAAGGGACCTTGTCATGGTGGGTGGGTCCTGAGTCTGATCAGTTGAATGACAATAAGGAAAAGTACAGACACGGGGCCAAATGACGCAATACATATGCCACACGGGGAGGACGAAGGAAGGGAAGCCATATAGACAAGGACCTTCCCCTAGAGCCGACAGATACAGGAAGCCTTCCCCTGGAACAGATGAGAGAATAAATTTGTTTGTCAAAATCCCCCACTTGTGGTATTTCAGTTACAACAGCACTGGAGACCTGTTATTGTGAAGTGCTGTTGAGTCGGTTCTGACTCATAGCAACCCTGTCCAGGGTTTCCAACCTTGTGAATCACAGTACAGTGCTGATCCTACAGTGCCACACCTGGGCAGGGCACTCCAAATTCAACATGAACATACAACGTGGGCTGACCAGCCAACCGTTTGCAGGTTAAATCAGAAAACAGTGGTATGAAAATCAAACTTTACCACGAAAATCTACCTCATGGTGACATCCGCTCTCTCCCGCCCCTGGGGATGGAACTGGACAGTGTCCAGCTCCTTCCAGTTCTTAGCCCTGTGGTTCCTACAGAAGCCCTCAGACCCTCACTTTGGTCACACAAAGACCTGTGCCGCAGATCTGGGAGATGCACCTTGCCAATCTTCAGGAGAAGGAAAGGGTCTAGGTTTATAGGAAGGGAGCAGTTCTAGACCAGGAAGCCCCTCCTCTGGCCCACATAGCCCTCCTTGTGTCTGCAAAGATGCCCACCCACGGAGCGGAGACCTGCCTGTGTTGAACTCAGCCAGAGACCAATGGAGGCGGAGTCAGCAGTGAGGGGCGGTGTGGCCAGGTGCCTGGGAGGGGGGATGGGACCACAGCAGAGATGAGCTGGGAGAAGTCATCTTCCTATTCCACGTGGGGGAAGTGACCTGCTCAAGATCATCCACACTGTGGGCCACACTCAGTCCAGCTGAAGACACCTCCAGTCCCCGCTCCCACTTGCAGCAGGAGGGGGTGGGGAGGGTACACAAAGAGCTCACACTTCAGTGCGAGGCAGCAGGGGCTGCTGCTGGGCAGGCTGGGGCTTGGAAGAGGAGATAAGGGACCAGATATGGGGATGTAGCACTGAACTCTTCACATTTTCTCAGCTCACATACTTGTTGCTAATTGCTGTCACGTTGATTCCAACTCATAGCAACCCCGTGTGTGCAGAATAGAACCTCTCCACAGGGTTTTCAAAGGTCTGACCTTCCAGAAGCAGACTGCGTGGCCTTTCTACTGAGGTTCCACTGGGTAGGTTTCTGAGGAGTAAGCTGGTGAGCTTGAACCGTCAATCTTGTGGTTCAAACAGACTTTGCAGTCCAGCTCATTAACCCACAGTGCCACACCAGGACTCCAGACTGTTGTTGCTGGGCAACTTCAAGTAGGTTCCAACTCAGAACAACCCTATGTACAACACACACCAAAAACATTACTCGGTCCTGCACCATCCTCACGATCATTGTGTTTGAGGCCATTGTTGTAGCCGCAAAATCAATCCATCGCATCGAGGGTCTTCTTTTTCACTGACCCTCTACTTTACCAAGTATAATGTCCTTCTCCCAGGGATTGGTCCCACCTGAGAACATCTCCAAAGTACGTGAGATGAAGTCTCACCAGCCTCGATTTGATAGAACATTCTGGATGCTCTTCTACCAAGACAAATTTATTAGTTCTCGCAGTCACTCATACTTTCAATATTCTTCAACAACTCCATAATTTAAATGCAACAATTCTTTGGTTTTCCTTATTCAAGGTCCAGCTTTCACATGCAAATGAAGCTACTGAAAATACTATGGCTTGGGCTGTAGTTGTTGTTGTTAAGTGCCTGCGAGTTAGTTCCGACCCACAGCGACCCTGTATAGGGTTTCCAAGGAGCAGCTGGTGAGCTTGAACCACTGACCTTGCAGTTCAAACAGCTTTGCAGTCTAGCGCATTAACCCACAGCGCCACACCAGGACTCCATGACTTGGGCTAGAGGCACCTCAGTCCTCAAACTATTAGGTGTGCTTTTTAAGATTTTTAAAAAAGATTCTGAAGATCTATTTATCCCTTGATTCCTGATTTAGATGCCAAGACAAGGGCAAGATTGTCCTTTACTGAACTGGACTGAGTGGATGGACAAAGCCACTGCTCTGGACATCTGTCACCACTCCGTGGGGGCAGCCTCAGTGATTGTCTGCTTACCTCCTCTGAGCTTTCCGG